GCACACACACACACACACACACACGCACACACACACTGCTGTCCACCCAGCGATGTTCTCCAAAACTGACACGGTTTGGAGCCAAAACAACAAAGATGTAAGGATGATAAAGAAAAACTGTTCTTGTGAGGACCGTTCCACAAACATCAGAACTAAAGGCTTCGCCGCGWCACTTCCTGTCCTACAGGAGGCTTTAATCTGTCACGAGATTATCAAACGAGCTCTTYTGGTTCCTGAAACAAACGAGTCGCTGCCCGTCAGAGAAAAACTACAACATGAAATAATCTCAAAGTGTCTGTGACGTCTGTCCTTTAAATACAAAAAGTCAAAGAAAACATATTTATACTTAAGAAAATTGGCATAATACACATGGTTTTATTCATTTTGTCACATAACTGACCGATTTTCTTTTAAATTTGGCTCAGCCAAAGTGAAACAGGAAGTGACATCAAAGGGGAACTCATTTATAAAATAAACTCTCTGGTCTCTGTTTATTAAAACAAAATTATTTAAACTTTTAACTCTTTTTCATCTCTTTAACAGAGATTCAGAATAATGTAAAGAAACATCAGATTCTTCTCTACAGTCTGTGTTGTTACAACGCTGTGTTTACATGCAGACATTCCCCTTTGACATCACTTCCTGTTTCTTCACATGCAACTATCTCAACAACTGTTCATCTCAGTGYRGTGGAGTTAGTTTTTCAACATGTTATCAGTGTTATCTTTACAAAAATACATTCATGTTTATTACAAACATTTTATGTCACAGACACTTTAACAGTTTTTAAACGTAAAATTCAAAACTTTTGTCCAGCGAAACATTTTTAATCCCTGAAACTTTCCCGCTTTAGATTTTAAAACCTTCATGTTTTGTTTTTTAACGTCAGAATGGTCCTCACAGAGACGGACAAACATCCTGGAGACAGAATGTCCTTCGTGACTCTCACTCCCTGACCTCCTCCTCTCAGACTCGTTTTACCTCAGAAACACGTCCAAACATCCGTTAAAGCAATAGATCGTTGTCGTAGACGTGGATTATTATGATTTTTTTTAATTTGGCAGTGCAAAAGAAGAATAACCTTTTTTAAAAATCCTTGAAATGCATCGTAGATGTAAACTTCATGGAGTTATAGTTTGTCAAATTTTGAGGGAATTATTTAAGAACAAAGTGTAAATAGTTTGTGTCTTGTGAGATTATTCCCTGGGTAGTTTTGAAAAATTAGAAGCAAAATTGTCAATTTTCCCAGATCTGGTGGTGTGCCCTGAGGTTTGTTTGTTTGTTTGTTTGTTTATTTGTTTGGTTTGGTTTTGTCAGCCAATCTCATGAAAAATTCAAAATGACAGCAGAAACTTTAAAAATCCAACCCTTGAGGAGAAAAATCTGATCAATAGTTTAAAGATCCACAATCATTCAACCAGTAAAGATGTAAAAAATAAATAAAAGGATAAAATTTGTTAAAAAGCACCAGAACCTTAAATTTATTAGACTTTTCATGAGATTTGTTAACAAAAGCTAAAAAAAAGTCATTTATCAGGGTTAAATACAACCACAAAAGAAGAGTGGTTTTAATGACTGATTTCTATTTATTATAGCAAAACACAAAAATCACAATAATCGGAAATGTGACCAAAAACACCAACAAAATTGTCAAGTTCCTTTCAAAACGTTTTGATTTATTTATCATCCAGCCTTGCCTCAAAAATAAAGAAAAAATATATATTTATATACAGATGTATATCTAAAAAAATCATCCTGTAACTGTCAGCAGCGGCGGCAATAATGTGTCTCATCTGATTGGTCCAGACTGGAGGTCGCCGGCCAATCAGATGTGTCCGTTTCCTCCTGTTGAGGCTTTGATGCAGTGCCGCCCCCTGCTGGTCAGAAACAGGAACTTCAACCACAGGAGCTGAAAGGACGTAGAGCAAATATTCAGATTTTTATTTTTGGTTCATCGAGGTGATAATTTATTTTTTTAATTGTACCTTTAAAATGTTTCGTCTCGTTTGTGTCTCCCTGCAGTAAAAAAATAAAATGTAAAGAAATCAGGAGACATGATGTGTGAAAGCAGTATTACTCAGATCTGTACTTTCAGATGTCTGAGCTGATGTTCTGTCGGGGAACTGTTCTGTGTGTGTGTGTGTGTGTGTGTGTGTGTGTGTGTGTGTGTGTGTGTGTGTGTGTGTGTGTGTGTGTGTGTGTGTGTGTGTTAGAAACCTGTAAACATCATCTTTAGTCTTTGGTTTGTTCCACCTCACCTCCATGAAGCCGGTAAAGAACTGCATGCTCATCATCATCATCCTCCTGTTTGGGTTTATTTATTTATTTTTTTCGTCCGTGGCGGCGCTCCTCTCAGATTATGGTGGCTGTTAGCTCCAGAGATTAACGGGAATTATTTAGCGACGTTTCCTGCATCTGACATCGTTCTGAATGTTTGTTAGAACAGTGAAAGTTAAGTGAGATTAAATCTTTCCACAAGCTATTTTTTGCCTTCTTTTTTTGTGTGTTGTAATTCTCACCTGAAATGCATTGCTGTGTGTCTGTTAGCAAAATATCCTGCYAACCACTGGCTTGATTTTGATAAGACAGCTGCCACAGCTAATCTACTTTAAAAAAAAAAAACAGCTACAACTCCATTATTTCTCAACATTTGATCTTAGTTTAAAAATTGGCACTAAACTCATCTTTATTTTTTCACATCTGTTTAAAGTCAAACTAAATCCCTGCAATTACTCCTTCCTGTCAGATTTCTTCTGTTAGACACTAAATATATTTTTATATAAACAGTAAATCTGATAAATGGTTCTGGAAATTCCTGCTACCTCCTACTGTTTATAACTTGATTTAAAAAAAAGACTAAGCTTTTCCGTGTTTATTTTATAAAGCTCCCTTTTAGTAAAACAAATTTTAGGGCCAAGAGGATGAAGTCCACCGGTTCTGTTGGTGTTTATGAGCAGCAGGAGGATCAAAAGCCTCCCTGATTAATTTATTTACATTTAAAACTCATCAGTAAGACGTTCAMTTTGTCGTGTGTTTCTACACCGCAGAGCTCAGAAACATTTTGTTTGAACTTTAATGGTTCTGGATGTCTGATGTGGTCCAGAACAATTTGAAATTAACGAGCAGCTGGCTGCTGTGATGGAGGTTTCCATGGCGATTAATGAGGTAACCTAATTAAGCCATCATCAGTGGAGCTGTGCTGCTGCAGCTGAGATGTGTGGAGCTACAGAAAAATAGTTTTTTTGGGATTAAAAAATTCATTAGTCTTTAATCAGTGAATATAGATTGATTTTAAGATTAAATGTTTTTGTAGCACAGATTGCTTTAGTTTTTAAATCAGCTTTCCGTATAAATAAAGTGCAGTATCAGGTGTTAGCCACCAGAGGGTGCTGATGAACTACAATCAGTTTATTTTTTTTCTCATAAATGGTAAATAAAATTTGAATTGACTTCTACTGGAATACAGTTATTGTCACAAATAAAACCTGAAATAAAGAGACATAACGATCTGTAAAGAAATGATAAAAACCCAATTTATTGTAACTTAAAAGGCTTTTGGGCTGCTGGAGACTCAACATGGTCAAAAAGTAAACTGTGTATACAGGATACATACAAGTACTTAAAAGGGTACTTACATGGGGTAAATTACTGGGTAACTGCTACATATATTAGTACACAAAGGGTTTTTACAGGATAATTACAGGTTAAGTTCTAGGGGTACCTAAAAAGTAATTACAGAATACTAACAATGGTACAAAAGATGTAAATACCCACAATGTACCTAAAGAAATACATACAGGCTACTAACAAAGGTACTCACTGATATACATACAGGGGAATTGAGGGGGTGCAAATAGGATACATAAAGTATTTACATGGGGTACATACAGGGTACACATAAAGGTACTTGTTGGGTACTTAAACGGTAATGACAAGGGATTTGCAGGGTAAATACAGGGGGATTTACARGTTTACTGTGTTGTATCTGTAGAGGAAAATGCTACATATCTGAAAGACACTTATGAGGTACTCCAGTATCTACAGGGTATTACAGGGTACATATTGAAGAGGTACTTAGAGGATTCATTTAGGGTTTTTACTGGGTACTTGTACTTATTAACCTGTCATGTCCCCCTATAGATTTTTAATGTCCAGCATCAGTCCTGACTGCAAAATAACTAGTTTCTGCAATTCTTCACCTTTTTTATCTTATTATTTTTTAGCATTTCAGAAAATAAAGTTTCATTTTCACACAGCAAAGATAACACAGAGTCCTCCTAAGGTCAGTTTGTTTAAATCTTACAAACTTTCTGATATATTTCCTAACAAACCAGCTGAGCCTGCTGTCTCTGGACCTCAGCCCGGCGGGCTCCACAGCTCGTACTCTCGGTACAGGACGTAGTCCTTCAGCCGCTCCGGCAGCGGCACAAAGCTCATGAAGACCGAGGAGCGGAGCCGGAGCCGACCCAGACACCGACGAATCCTCAGACGGCAGAGATGCTGCAGGCAGCGAGCGTTTTCTGTGGAGGACAGSACATCAGAGYAGGACAGGACATCAGAGGAGGACAGCACATCAGAGGAGGACAGGACATCAGAGGAGGACAGAACCATTAGTGGAGGACAGAGGACAGGACAGGTTGTGTGTCTGCCTCCTGACTTGGTTTCAGGACTTCCTGTCACCTTGCACTCTGCAGATGTCGGCCCACTGCTGCTGCTCCATCAGAACCGCCTTCAGTTTGGAGCACAGTTTCACGTGATCCAGGTAGTCCAGCAGGACCCGGACAAGGTGACCCGACAGGTGCTTGAGCCAGGAGAGGGTGATGACCTCACAGAACTGCACCGACACACAGAAACAGTCAAAAACCTGCAGGTTTGTTAAGAAAACTCAGGTTTTTATCACCAGAGTGTCTTTGATCACGGAGCAGGTCCAGCCCTCGTAGTCTTCAGGGACGTGGGAGCCGTCACCGTACGGACAGTCGAAGCAGCGCTCCACGTCGTAACCATAGTTACACAGCATCCTGAGAATCACCTGACGTAAAACAAACAAACAAATATGGGTCAGTAAAGCCAAAAACCCAGATCTGGGGTCAGATAGGATCCGGGTCACCTCGTCTTTGAAGGCGTACTGCAGCGCCGAGGGGAAATGCGTGGTGTTGATCCTGCAGTAGTAGTTCACGTTGGCTCCGTATCGCAGCAACAAGTTGATCAACTCGTAGTTGCCGAGGCGGAGAGCAACCTGGAAGTGAACGGTTTCTGAGTCACACAGAATGAACCGGGGGGGGGG